TCAGGAGGCAGCTGGTCGATGTTCTTCTCTCATTGATGTTTCTTGCTCTCTATCTCTCTCCCTTCCTCTCTGTAAAAAATCAATAAAATATATTTTAAAAAAATAATAATAAAATCAATAAAAATATATTTTTAAACAATCGTTTCTCCCTTTGGTTTCCCAGCGCTCAGCAAGCTGAGGATCCCCCCCATGTACCCCACAAGCCAGGTGGAGATCGTCCAGTCCAACGTGGTGTTTGACATCAGCAGCCTCATGCTCTACGGGACCCAGGCCATCCCCGTGCGCCTGAAGATCCTCCTGGACCGGCTCTTCAGTGTGCTGAAGCAGGATGAGGTCCTGCGGATCCTGCACGCCCTGGACTGGACCCTTCAGGACTACATCCGGGGATACGTGCTGCAGGTGCGGCCAGGCCAGCACGCCCCCCCTCCTCCGCCAGGGTCTTCTCCCATCCACTTCCGCGTCCCTGAGGCCGCCCAGTAGCCTACAAGCGCTACAGCCATTGCGGGCATCCTTCCCTTTCATCTTTTTTCCAGCGGCCGAATGCCCTACCCCAGCTTCTGGGAGGAATCCAGGGCTTTCCTCAAGATACTTGTGAGCCCTGAGCTGGTTTGGCTCAGTGGATAGAGCTTCGGCCCCGGGGACTGAAGGGTCCCAGGTTCGATTCCGGTCAAGGGCACATGCCTTGGCTGTGGGCTTAATCCCCAGTAGGGGGCGTGCAGGAGGCAGCTGGTCAATGATTCTCTCTCATCATGGATGTTTCTCTCCCTCTCTCTCCCTTCCTCTCTGAAATCAATAAAAATATATATTTTTTTTAAGAAAAGATACCTGTGAAACTCAGATGTGGGAGCGTTACCTGATCCCCTGACTTGGGTTTCACTGGGCAGCTCGTCCACATTAACCACTGGCCCTGCCTTGGACACTTTTTTTTTTTTTTAAATTCTCACCCAAGGATTGTTTTCCATATTTTCCCAGGATGCTTAGAGAGAGGGAAAGACAGAGAGAAACATCGATGTGAGAGAAACACATCGATGGGTTGCCTCCTGCACGTGCCCTGACCAGGGCCCAGCTCGGGGAGGAGCCGGCAACCGAGGTACATACCCTTGACCGGAACCGAACCCGGGACCCTTTGGCTCTCAGGCTGATGCTCTATCCACCGAATCAAACCTGCTGGGGCTCCACTTCTTTTATTATCTGCAAACTACCTATTGACATAGACGCTGTCTGTGTGAGATTTTACTGAGGTTTGGGGGGTGAGAAAGCGAACTTACCTTGCAGAACCGCAAGCAGACAATTCTGGCCCCTGTTCCTTAAAGCGTCTGCACCCCCCTGCTGATGTTCCCTCCTAGAATGGGTCGTCTTGTGAGGTTTCTGTGTTCTTGCACTTTTTTATTCTCTGCACCCCCCCACCCCCCATTCTCTTTCTGCCTCCTCACATTTTGTCTGTCTCTCCATGAAGGAGAGATGGAAGGCATATTTCTCTGTGATTTTCATGCCTCCTCTCTTCTCTTTTTGTGGCAGAGTAGTTTTTGTTTGTTTTAATCCTCACCTGAGGGTATGTAATTTCAGGGAGAGAGGAAAGGAGAGAGAGAGAGAGAGAGAGAGAGAGAGAGAGAAACA